TCCCGGCGCCGCTCAGAAGCCGGAAAGGATGGGTATGGGCCAAATCTGGGGCAAATTTGGTGCTGTTGGAAAAAGAATGTGAACCAAAAACGCGCCCTAATTTTTATAGCCTACACCCTGACTAAGCGTTAAACATTGAGAGTTTGCTTATGTGAGTTGTTAATCAACCATGGTGTAATTTCGGAGGGCACGTCACGTAGTAAACATCTGGAGTGGCATGCAGTGGGGTAGTCATATGTATTAGGGTTATTTAAGTTTTTTATAGTTTTTTCGTGCGCTTTTAACTAATGCCATTTAATTAAACGATGCTAACACGAATGACATGGTTTACCAGCAAACGCATGTAGTCAACGTCAATGGCACTCCGCTCGCCATACGAATTGAGATTAGTCGAATTCCAAGAACAGTGATTCTCGGTTATGATTTATCCTGTCTTGTAACAAATGGACCAATAGGGAGAGCGATGCCGCTGCTTATATATCAACTCAACCTTCGGTTTGATAAGGACGGTGGGTCGAGGGGTGGGTGTGGGACTAGTATAGTTCTAGAGGAAAACCTAAATATATTTCTGAATCAGCACGTCTGGGTGAGGGGGTGGTTCTGGTGAAACAAAATTTCGTAAGAATTGAAAAAGTTAAAAATTTATAAAAATTATATTTTCAATAGATGGCGTTTACAGTTATTAACATTATTACTATGCACGTAGTGGGAATCCTATGGTGTATAACGATAGGATGGCCCAGAGCGAATGGATCAGCATCGGACTCCATAAATCCATTGAATTCTGGCGACTCCCACCGGGAAATGTTCGTTTCCTTTACTTGGGACTTGTTTAGTATGTACTTCTGCCCGTGTAGAAGTTTCACCCACTAATAAGTTAACATGTGTTTAAATAAAGAAGCGCGGGGCGACGGAGGTGAGGTGTTTTTTGCGGGATAGGAGTTTGCGGTATAGTCGGCGGCCGCAGGAAATGTGAGTAGATGTTGAGTGAGTGTACTTGATGGGACTTTGAGTAGATGGATGGCAGGCGATTTGTTT